TCATCTGGACGGCGTGAATAACAAAAAAATTGAGAAACCGAATATAATCTTGTTGAGATCACCCCCAAAGACGCTTGTTCCAAACGAAGGATCCGTTGCAGACGAGTCCAGCGAGGACGACGTAAGTGTTGATGGCGATATTAGGTAACCACTGACCCAGAGGGGTGATCGATTTCTGGCTCCCTGTAGCCCCATTTCACTTGGTTGGGCGATTCTGCAATCTTGATAGCTTCGGTGGTAAGAGTGTGGTGTAGGAGGTGGTGTGAGGAGAGATTAGATATTAGGGCTTTCATATATAATTGGTAAGAATGCTTACAAGCGGTCTGATTTGAGATTGATGATGCGGTGGTCAACGGCAAGGAGGACGATGAGAAGAACGGCGAGGCCGAGGGACAAAGGTTGCTTGAATGAAAACCCTCCTTCACCATGAACACCGGCGAGTTAAGAGAAGAGAGAGAAATTCACCCAAAACAAAAATTAAAGCTGAAAGAAATAAGATTTCATTACCCACATCACCCAAAACGACGTAGTTTAGGTCAATGTCTATTTGGGTAATTTCATTTTCTTCAATTTTTTTATTATTATTATTAAAGAAAGAATATTGGGGGGTATTTTTGTATTTTTACCTACCTCTCTAACAAAAAGCTCTTATTTGCAACTTTTTGAAATTAGAGGGGTCAATTTTGAACAGTAAGGGTGTTATTTGCAACTTTTTGAAAATAGAGGGGTGTTTTTTGCACTTACCCCGTTATAATTGTTATTTGTGATTGCTAAAATCACATCAAACTCATTACTTCAAGGAGTTTTTATTTACAACCAAAACTCACTTCAAATGGGTTGAATATGGTTAACCATATTTAACCCATCTTGACTCTCAAATTAAGTGATTAAAAATTACCCAACGATCCTCAATTAAATATGGTTCACCTATAACCATTAAAAAGCGGGCGGATATGGGCAGGTTGATTGTTCCTGACCCATTTTGCCACCCTTAATATAGCTATTGCCAAATCTGTTAGTGCTCTCTTCCTTTTCTCTTTTCTCTTTATGGGCTACCAATTTTGTGTTGGGCTTATGTATTTATATGTGTCAGTTATATATATATATATATATATATATATATATATATATTGCACTGTTTTTATTTATTTATTTTTAATAATTCAAATAAGCTAAATAAAATACAAACACAAAAAAAAAAAAAAAAAAAAAAAAAAAAAAAAAAATTGGTTGTTGAAAATTGTAGTTGGGAATAGTGGTTGAAAAATAATGGTTGTTGTGTCAAAAAATTGCATTTTAGATGAAATTTACCATTAGAGCAGAATTGCTAAAATATATCATTTTGACACTATAACTCCTCTTAAAATATAAATTTAATATGTAAAAATGACGTTTTGTATTGGAGATGGTTTGAATATGATACCAATAAAGTTAATTCGAATTTACAATTTACAATAATTACATGAATAGATATGGTACCAATAAAGTGACATTAAGCAATGTTCAAAGTTTTGTTGCTAGAATTGGACAAGTTGCACTTATAATGGAATGAGTAGACAGTTGTCTAATCTTATATATCATTCAGGTTTTGAAAGGCTGTAAATGAGCCCAATCATAGTAGTAGACTGTGTGGACTCGACTGTTAGAGAATGTGTTGGAGCTTTGCTCGAAGTCCTATCAAGATTGGACTTGTAAGGCCCATTAGAGCTTCCAAATGTTGTCATAATTCATTGCTATATTACAGACGAAAATAATTCAAAGGCCCATAATTTGGTCTATTTGTTAAAGTGCGACTAGTCTAACTGAATTAATGCACCAAGACTTGAATATCATAATAATCTATTTTAGTATTTTATATGATATACAAATGAATAACATAATTTTCGAAAAAAAAAATAAAATGAATAACATAATGTATCAAATAATGTATTAAACCTTCTGCTAAAGCAAGTAATTAATGAACTAAAGATAAAAAAGCGTCTTTTAGGCATATGGGCAAGGGCGAATTCAAAAATTGTCAATAGGGGGCTAATATTAAACATAAATTTAAGTAAGGTCAGATAATCTGGTTGCCCTTCCCTCTCCAAATGCAAGCTGGGTTGTTTTCTGATCTATCAACTGAAAAACTAAGAAGCCTAACCGTTCATACACATATCTATCTATACCAGTTGATGTATTAGGGATTTAAGGCTTGTTTGGTTGAACCTTTGTTTTAAAATTGTGGCTTCACACTTGGACTTATTTGGATGGGCTAAATTTACCAATGGTAATAAAATAAAGCCCATTAGGTTTGCAGTAAAGACAGATAGATACAATTTATAGAGAGTGTGATCAAATTTCCCTCTCAAGTTTGCAAACTTGAACAACAACACCTCAACTATGATAGGAGTACATAATTATCATTTGATTGGACCAAAATGACCCTTGACAAAATAAAAAATAAATAAATAAATAAAAAACTCAACGATGGCCCTCTCAATTTTTTTGCAAAACCTTATTATAGTATTAAATTAAAATTATTTATGGAAATGTTTTACGTACAAATTAAAGTTGGTTGCCTCAAATTTTTTGTAACACTTCCCTTTTATGTTGGGAAATGCATAATATTTGATATATAATTCAAAATGCATAAAATTATACTTGTACCATATTTTTTATTTTTAAGAAAAAAAGATTGGTTTAATTTTTTTAGATGAAAGAATTAAGCATCTTAATTTAAAAATAAAAAAAGAAAAATAAAAGAAGTAATAACAAAATATAATTTATTTGAAATATATGTATTGGATCAAAAAATCATTTTAGACGTCTAAATTTTTAAGAAGTTGGGACATTTATAAAGTAAATAATTATAAAAAAAGGGAACAATATAAAGTTTTTTTTTGTTACTTTTTTTTTTTTTTTAAATAAATTGTTCATGAGAATAGATTAGTCCAATTTATTAAATTGTAAAGTCAAAAAGGTCTCCTGAACGATCAAAGGGTAATTTGGTCAAATTTTCATGTAAAGTGGTATCTTTGTCCATTTTTGAGCCTTTAGGGGTGTCTTTGTCCAAAAAACAGGTAAGTTTCATCTAAGTATCCTTTTACCAAACCTAGGGGGTGTGGTTGTACTTTACTCTAAATATTAATAGTTGTTTTCTATTTAAAAATTAAAGTTGATCTCTCTAATTTTTTATATTTTTAAAAAACTATATGGTTCCCTAATATTAAATGTAGTTTAATAATGAAATTACTTGTATCCCCTTCAAATTTTAATAATCCTCTTGCTATAAAAGATCAAATTTAGTAAAAAAAAATTATTAATTATTATGGTAATCCTTGTAACAACATACTATATTTACGCACACATATATTCACATACATATATAAATATTATTTATTGTGAATTAGAAAGAACAAAAAAAAAATTTACTTGACAATAACAATGATTCAATCGATAACTTTTCTCTTCAATTTAATTGCATATTATTTATAAACACATTTTAACAATATATATTAAAATTGGAAAAAAAAAAAAAAATTCTTACAATGATTTTATGTTATTTTAAAATTTAAATTTTACATTTCTAATTTGGCCCCACCAATTAAAAATTTTTGGCCCCGCTCCTGTCTGTATGCATATGGCATTGGCGGCCACAGTGGCGGAGTTTGATTTTTTTTTTTTTTTTGCTAAGGGTCATTTAGGTTTTAATAATTTAAATTGGTCAATTCAAAAATTAAAAGACAATTAGGTACTCTTATCATGGTTGGGGTGTTGTTATTCAAGTTTGCAAACTTGAGGGGACAATTGGATTACACTCTCCCTAATTCATATTTACCTATCCTTATTACAAATCTGAGAAGGTGTGAGTGCAAATTACTCTAAAATAAAAAATAAAAAAAATTTAGGGCCCCCACGTGATACATCCGCTCCTTCAAGCAATGGCACATCAGTAGTTTGTTGGCATCACACTTATGGCATGTCCCAGAAATTTACTTAAATGGGAAAGCGCACTATGGTTTCTCACAGATCTTAGAAAAATATTATATTGACCATATATATATTCTACTATTATGATCCAGAACACAAATAAAGTCACAGGGGACAGCCTCCACACACGATCCTTAGCTTTTAATTGTGATGAACTAATTGGGTGACTAAACGCGCCTATAACCGAGAAAATTCAGAACTTCTCTTTTCCGTTTTGTTTGGCAAGTAAGAAAATTCTTATGTAGTGAAAGTCATGTTCCTTGACAAATGACAGATCACGTGACAACCTCTAGCTCTGCCATGTTTTTTGTTTTCCCACTTTCTATACCAACCTTGGCTTTTTACAGTGTGTTTCCATTTAAGAAAAATCTAATCCAATTTTACAATATAGAATATGGTCATTTTCGGAGATCAATTTTTATTACATATTTTTTTTATTTTTTTTTATTTTTAATGCATGTCCGGTATTGAGATTTCAAAATTAACCGCCCAAACAGTATCAAGTTTTACAGGTTAAAATTTTCAAATTATTACGATAATTTGATAGATTTTGAATTTTTATTTTTTTATTTTTTGTATGTTGCCTTTATTTGGAGCTCACCTTATATCCGGTAGAATTTTTTTTTTTTTTTTTGGGATAAATAATTAGCTTTGTAATTAGTGGAAAAATATATATCATCTACTTCAATTTAATGTCTCCCTCTCATTGCATAAAGCCTAAAATGGAAAAAGGAATCAAACACCGAATTTTTATTTATTTTTAACATCAAACACCGAAATAATAGACTTCTTTCTAGAACATATAATCCCATTTCAGGAAAAATAATAATAATTAAAAACAAAAAGAGATAAATACTAATAAGCATTTATGAATTTTTAAGAGATAAATACTAATAAGCATTTATGAGCATTTAAGACTTCCCATACGTATAGATTGGAACAGTCATCCAAATCGTTCACGCCTTGTGGCTTTTACCTATTCAAACATCTCATAACCGAAGTGTCATCGTTTCTCTACAATTATAATTAAACTCTCACTTGTTTATATCCTTATCTCCAAATGTTATCCAACTCCACCAAATCAGATAAAATCCCATCCCCCTCTCTCATTCTCTCTCTATATGCACGCATATATACTTACACTATACTATATATATATCATCAGTCATAAGCCTTCCCTTAATTTCTTCTGAGAAAAGTAGTGTTTTTATTATAATTATAGCAACAATGGCTAAGATATCAATGTTATGTTGCTATCTTTTGGTTGCTTTGTGCTCTGGTTATATTAGTGAAGCAGCAGAGACTGAGATAGGGATTTATGAACTCAAGAAGGGAGACTTCTCTATCAAGATCACCAACTATGGTGCAACTGTTCTCTCTGTCACACTCCCTGATAAAAATGGTTTGTCTTTTTTCTATACTTTTTTTTTTTTTTTTTTTTTTTTTTTTTTTTTTCATTCAAATTAACCCTTTTTTTCTTTAGAGTATATATCATGAAAATTTTCATTTCTCAATTTTTTTTTGTTGTTGTTATTTTTCAGGAAAATTGGATGATGTTATTCTTGGATATGAAACAGTTGATGGGTACAAGGTTAGATTCACCATGTAGCTTATAGTTTTTATTTTTTTTTGTACTTTACCCTATTAATAGTGCTGATGCAAAAATTTTAATGAGAATGGGTGTTCCTGATATATGCTGTCCTATTTACTTGATGCATATGATTTTTTAATACTTTGCAGAATGATACAACCTATTTTGGGGCAATTGTTGGGCGTGTAGCAAACCGAATTGGAGGGGCTCAATTTACTCTAGACGGCGTTCAATATAAATTACACGCAAATGATCATGGAAAAAACACACTCCATGGTACATATTTTCTACTGTAATTATTTTTTCTCCCCACTACATATATATATACTACTATTAAGTTCATTTTGAAATTAAAATTATTTGTCCAACTCACTCGTGTATGTATATCAGGCGGCCTCAAAGGATACAGTAGAGTCATATGGACTGTGCATAGCTACAAAGAAGATAGTCATCTTTCATTAACTTATAAGAGCTTCGACGGTGAAGAAGGTATATAATATACCATATATATATATATATTGAAAAGAAAATTAGCTTATTATTTGCAGTAGTCTGTGTGTGTATTGACCTGTTTCACCATTCAAATTCCTGTTCAAAATTCATAGTTTGAATATGACACATTTAGTGTGTGTATATCACCACCATGTCAAACCACCCAAATTTGAAGGTTTGGCTTATTGTATGACAATGCAATCTATCATGGGTTAAAATGTCCATAGCTGTTGTACTTTTTAGTTGTGACGTCATCATTGTCTTTAGTGACTAAATGGATAGGTTGGCTACATAAATTCTTTTAAAATTTAATTTTAAAAAATTATTTTTAATTACTCTCTCCCATCTACTTACTTTGGCGTTTGGAATCCTCGTGTTAAATGTATGGACACAGGCTTTCCTGGTGATCTTGCTGTCACAGTTACATACATGATAATGAGCACAAAGCAATTGGGAATAAAAATGGAAGCAAAGGCACTAAACAAGGCCACCCCAGTGAATCTAGCTTCACATAGCTACTGGAACCTTGGCGGTCACAACAGTGGTGACATCCTCTCACACGAAATCCAACTGTTCGGGTCCAAGATCACCCCAGTGGACAAGAACCTCATCCCCACCGGAGAAATTAAACCTGTGGAAGGGACACCCTATGATTTCCTTCAACCCCGCACGATTGGGAGCAAATTGAGTGAGCTACCAGAGGGTTATGATATCAACTACGTGCTGGACATCCCAACTTTTGAGCATCTGCATAGGGTGGCAACAGTGAAGGAAAACAAATCCGGTAGAAAGATGGAGCTGTGGAGTAATGCACTTGGAGTCCAGTTTTATACAAGTAATATGTTGGACAATGTCAAAGGAAAAGGTGGGGCTGTGTACTCGAAATATGGTGGATTGTGCTTGGAGACACAGGGCTTTCCCGACTCCGTCAATCATCCAAACTTCCCTTCACAAATCGTGAATCCGGGGCAGACTCACTTGAATGTCATGGTTTACAGGTTCACAGCAGGCTAAAGAAGACCATTTATACATCAGTGACCTCATCTTCTTCTTCCTCATCTTTCTTTTTTTTTTTTTTTTTTTTATTTTTTTTTTTTTTAGTTGTATAGTTGGGGAACATCATGGTGGTTTAAGTATCTCTCTCTCTTTTCTTTGGAGCTTTTCATGATTGATTCAATAAGAGTATTAGTCAAAATTGCTTAAACAATCTTTGGATGTTTTCTCAGACACAATTTGCATTCTTGGCCATATATGATGAACCATTCAAGAAGTAGTTTAAGTAATTGATATAGACTTGCACTTTGCTTTCTACAGTAGGATCCTGCTGTTTGGAAACTAAACCATAAAATCACCGTGGAGACACATTTATTGTCACAAGCTTTCTGCCAATTACATTTATATCTAGTTTAATTGGACAAACAAATAAACTGATCAATAGCTTACCAAAACATAAAAATTTGATTAATACATATAATAATTCTTGTGTCTTCCAAGTATGCAACACAGTGCATCCTAGTGCCCAATTTTTTTGACTTAAACTCTAATGGTTGGAAGGAAGAGGAATGTAACACAGTGCATCCTAGTACCCAATTTTTTTTGACTTTCACTCTAATGGTTGGAAGGAAGGAAGGAAGAGGTTCATTTGTTCAGGAGAGATGATACAAGAAAAGAAGGGATGACATGTGGACTATTAGAGGTTCATTTGTTCGGGAGAGATGATAAAAGTTTTAAATTAAATATTATCCTAAATTATACCTGTTTTAAATTATTATAAATATATAAATATTAGGTAGAGTTAGGAGTCTTAAATAATAAAATAGCCTATTTTAAAAGTTTATTTTTCAGTTTGATTGAATCAAATAAAATAATTACAAATGTATCAAGAATTATTGTTAAGGTCCAAAATATCCTCCAAGCCCTTATTATAAAATATCAAAATAACCTCGTTATAATCATATAATTTCAAAATAACAACAAAAAAAAAAAAAAAAAAAAAAAAAAAAAAGGAATTTATGGAAATCTTGCTCAATAATAATAGTTGATATTAAAGTCTAAATTTATGTCAAAATATGGAATTATTTACTGACATAATAGGAATTAATTACTAAAAAAAAGGTTTGACATTTATCAAAGGTGAAATAAAAGATATTAATTACTATAAGAACAATACTTAGGTTCTGCCCCTAGGGGCCAGCAGACTTGGTGGGAGTGGGAGCTTCTAAGTGCTAAATAACCATATGTAGCACTTGGGTGTGGGTTATTAAAAAATAAAAACCAATACTTAGGTTTTTAGTAGCTGTTAGTGTGGTGTAAATTCTCACTAGTAAAGACTTAAATATTATTGTTACTATAAATATAAGTTAAAAATCTTGAGTCCATAATAAAGCATGATTAAGAATTCCCATTTACGTCATATGATTAAGAATGCCTACACTACATAATAACTAATAAGGCATGATCAAGAATTTATACTTGAAAAAAAATTGGCAGTAGTTATAGCAAATACGGATGAATTATCTCATCTATTAAGTAGACAAATGACATCCATCTACTTCTTTGATTCATACAAGAACTTTTTTGTTTTAAGTTGGAACATAAATTTAAAAAAATACATACATACATACATACATACATATATATGATAGGTGTGTATTTATAGATTTGTCGTTGTTAAATACACTCCATATCAAGATAAAATACCTACAACTATTTAACTAAAAATGTCTAATGACAAGTAAGGTCGAACCACGCATTCAAGACGAGTTTCTATTTTTGAACAAGAGATTTAAAAACATTGATTTTGAGGTTTGTCACGAACTATGAAAATGAAATTATAACTCCAAAACATTAAACACTTAAAGGAGAATAAAACTTGTGAAAATAACTTGCATTAAATTAGAGAAAGCTTTAAGAAAAATTACACAAGTAAATAAACTCTCAATGAAAAATACAACCATTTCTAACTATCTATTCTCTATCTCCAACTCCCCTCTCTCTTGTGCAAGATGGTCGCCTATTTATAGTCGGATGAACAACACAAATGGTGTGTGGATCCACTTGCCTATTCCAACTTCTTCCATCAGAGGCCACTCCTCTTCATTGCCTAATCTGACATGTAACTTCCTTACAGGCCACCACTCCTCATCTTTCTTTTCTCTGTTGACTTCAATCCTTACCCACTTTCTGATTTCTTCTTTCTTTCTCCTCTTTTTCATCATTCTCTTTTTATTTTATTTTCTTCTTTCTCTCCCCTTCTTCACGTGGCTTCTTCTTTTTTCTTTCTTCTTTCAATATATATATATATATATATAATGCTAATGATGATGTGGCATGCTAACTAGATGGAGGACCAAAAAGATAATGCTTCTTGTTTTTGGAAGGATTTGAACTTGGGAATTTATGAAAGATTTTGAATACAATTTTATCTCTGTTACAATGCTTCTTGTGTTTTCTTTTGCTTAGTAAAACATATAACCTTCTGTGCTTTGTTCTCTATTTTTGCCTGCATTCTTTCCATTCATTCATTAACACCTATAAAACACAAAACAAGCATATAAGAATATTTAAATAATATAAAAGTCTAATTAAAAGCTTATTTTGGTGCATGAAATAATAGGTTTTGTGTACTTATCAAACTACCCCCAAACAAGCTTTTGCTAATCCTCTAGCAAAGAAAGACAAAAATAGATAAGTTCACAAAAAATATTACTTTTATTAACAAAAAGATGTACCACTTTCGCAGGCTACTTTCAATTGCATTTACCATATGCAGTAAAACCTTAAACCCCTAGGTTACCCCTAGTGGACGAGTTATAGCCTCGTGAGGGTTTCCAGTGAAGGTACTCACAAACTTCCAAAGAATTTTCTAGTATATCTATAGAATGAAAAGTTTCAGAGATGAAAATATCAAGTACTTTATATATAACGAGCTACTATGGTGTTATAAAAACAAATATTTCAATAAAGTTCACCCATATACAACCTAGAAGTAGAGAGTGTGTGTGTGTGTGTGCGAAGTCAACAAAAAATCCATTTTCAAATCCAAGTGACGAAATCCCCAAGTCTTTGAAAAATCTATGTTTTGATTTCAAATCTCACGGTAAATATCTTTTTAAAAGAACATCTCTCGAAGATTTAGTAGAAACTATGTTTTCAAAGTAAAATCAAGCTCACATACTAATTATTTGAAGGACCGATACATATAATAGAAGAGTCTCATGATAGGAATATTGATCACTTTTGAGAGAATGTCGAGTTACCCACCATAACGCTTTCTTATTTACTATGCACTATCATATCTTTTCTAAAAACATTATTGAGCTCAATTTGTACATAAATGTTTCTAAGAATGGGGGGTCTTCAAAATACTTGAAAAAGATACTTTACTCTTCTTCTTCTTCTTCTTTTTTCAATTATTTATTTATTTATTTTTTGAAGAGGATATGAATGACTTTTTGATCTATTTTTCTTTTACATACAGTCATTCTTAACATTTTTCAAAAAAATAACAAGATTACAAAAGGTAATGAAGGTATAATAGTATATAGTAAACTAGAAGACTTATGTTTCTCTTAACTCGATGTGATTTCATTCTCAATGATATACCAAGATGAAGGATTATGAGACTAATAACAAATTTTTATCGCGCTATTCAAGAAATTTGAGCCATCTTGTGACTCTGAGTTAGCGTAAAGCTCCCTAAAAAGATGAAAGGCACAAAAGCTCACATGGTTTTAAGTCTCCAGTAATAGATTTCTAGATTTTTGGAAGATTATTCACTTCTTTCTTTCAAGCTGCGACTTTGTGCAAAAATATCTCTACTTCTAAATTCCCATGGTGCAATGTCTATCATTATATCACCTTAGTAACAAGCTCAATCTCAATCTAAAATAATGACATCTCTTAACTTTCACAAAGTAGCGAACCAGGATTTTTTTTTTTTTTTTTTTCAAAAGATTTTTCAAAAAGAGGTACATGTTTTGATAAATCTGTCCTACCCCTAAACAAAATAAAACACTGTCCCTAGTGTTTGAAAAACAGAATACTGAAAAGTGGTGAATGAAATGAACAATGTACCACAGGAGATAAAAAGAAAAATTGAAACGAAATACCTTAATTGATTTTGTGCTTCTGAAGTACAATCCATGCAGATAGTCATTGCAAAAGAGAGACCAAGTGTTCTGAAATTATGACTGATTATACCCCCAAACAAAATAAAAGCATAGCTAAAGAAATATAAACAAGAAAATGGGTTGCCTCCCAAGAGCGCTAAGTTTAATGTCTTCAGCCAGACGCAAAGGGGATAGTACCCCCAGAGAGATCAATCTGAATAGACAGGATCAATGAGGAGAATTTCCTCAATTTTATGAGACTCAAGCTCAAGGAAAGGTTTTAAGCGATGAGCATTAACTTCAAACAATTCCCCAGTCGTGGGGTCTTGTACCTCAATTGCACCATGACTTGCCACATGTTTGACAAAGTATGGGCTAGACCAACATGACTGTAACTTCCCAGGAAACAATTGAAGACAGGAGTTATACAAAAGAACCTTTTGTCCGGGAAAAAAATCCTTTCGAAGAATGTGCTTGTCATGTTCGAACTTTGTTTTGGCTTTATACATTTTGGAACTCTCATAGGCATCATTTCGAATTTCTTCCAACTCATCAAGCTGGAGTTTCCTATGTTCACCGGCTTTATTAGAGTCGAAATTCATGGCCTTAATGGCCCAATAAGCACAGTGTTCCAGCTCTACAGGCAAATGACAGGCTTTGCCATAAACCAAATGGTATAGGGACATTCCTATAGGGGTCTTGTAAGTAGTCCGGTATGCCTACAAAGCATCCTGAAGCCGGAGGGTCCAGTCTTTCCGTGTAGGATTAACTGTTTTTTTCCAGTATTTGTTTGATTTCCCTATTGGATACCTTAGCTTGACTATTGGTTTGTGGGTGATATGACAGGGCCACTTTGTGAATGATACCATATTTGGTCAATAAGTTTCCAAAGACTTTATTGCAAAAATGTGAACCATTATCACTTATAATGGCTCGAGGTATACCAAACCTAGGTAAAATTAAGTCTTTGAAGAAACGCACCACAACTCGATGGTCGGTTGCCTTGGTGGCTAAGGCTTCTACCCATTTGGACACATAATCAACAGCCAAAAGGATGTAAAGACATCCATATGAGGAAGGAAAGGGTCCCATGAAATCAATACCCCAAACATCAAAAATTTCAACTACTAAAACGGGTTGTTGGGGCCATTCATTACGCTTGGTAATCTTACCTAACAATTGGTATCTTTGACAAGCCATATAGTAGATGTGGGTATCCTTGAAAAGGGTGGGCCAATAAAATCCCGACTGCAAGATTTTTGCAGCGATTCTTTTACAGCTAAAGTGGCCACCACAAGCCTGATCATGACAGAAGGAAATGACAGACTCCTGGTTTATCTCAGGGACACACCTACGGATGATTTGATCAGGACAATATTTGAACAAGTAGGGGTCATCCTAAAAATATTCCTTAACTTTAGTTAGGAATTTATCTCTTTCCTGTTTGGACCAAGTGGAAGGAATTTGACCTGTCACAATGTAATTGACAATATCAGCATACCATGGGGCATGAGTTATTGCAAATAATTGTTCATCCGCAAAAGCATTCGAGATTGGAATGGATTTAGTAATAGACTCAACAACAAGACGGGACAAATGATCGGCCACCACATTATCGGAGCCTTTCTTATCACAAATCTCAAAGTCAAACTATTGAAGAAGTAGGATCCAACGGATCAACCAAGGTTTGGCATCTGCTTTGGATAAAAGATGTCTTAATGCAGTATGATCAGTATAGATGATGACCTTGAAATCGATCAAATAGGAGTGAAATTTGTCAAAAGAAAACACGACGGCTAACAACTCTTTCTCCCGTGGTGGAATAGTTGGTTTGGGCATCATTTAGGGTTTTGCTAGCATAATAGATGACATGTCGTGCTTTCTCAACCTTTTGACCTAAGACAGCTCCTACTGCATAATCCGACGCATCACACATGATTTCAAAAGGTAAGTTCCAATCTGGCGAATGGATGATGGGTGCAGTGGTGAGAGCTGACTTTAATTGTTCAAAAGTAGAGTGACATGGATCGGTAAACTCAAAGAGTATATCCTTCCCTAACAGATGGGTGAGAGTTCTTGTTATCTTGCTGAAATCTTTAATGAAACGACGGTAAAAACCAGCATGACCTAAGAAAGCTCTAATATCCCGAACAGTTTTGGGAATGAGTAAACTCAAGATAAGGTCAACTTTGGATTGATCTACCTCAATTCCTACAGCGGATATATTATGATCGAGGACAATTCCTTTTTTAACCATGAAATGTCACTTTTTCTAGTTAAGAACCAAGTTAGTGTCACGATAACGCTGAAGGACAAGAGTAAGATGGTGAAGGCATTGCTCAAATGATGAATCAAAGACAAAGAAGTCATCTATGACGATTTCAAGAAACTTTTCAACCATGTCACTGAAAATACTCATCATATACCGCTGGAATGTAGCAGGTGCATTGTATAAACCAAAAGGCATGAGACGATAAGCAAATGTGCCAAATGGACAGGTGAAAGTGGTCTTATCTTGGTCATCAACGTGGATAGGGATTTGATTATAGCCAGAGTAACCATCTAAGAAGCAATAGAAGGATTAACCAGCTAATCTTTCTAACATTTAATCAATGAAAGGCAGAGGGAAATGATCCTTTCGAGTGACAGTATTGAGCTTTCGATAATCAATGCAAACTCGCCATCGAGTTTGGACACGAGTAGGAACCAATTCATTATGGCTATTGGATACGACGGTGATGCCTGATTTTTTAGGGACAACATGAATAGGGTTTACCCACTGACTATCAGAAATGGGATAGATGATACCGGCATCAAGAAGTTTAATAATTTCAGCACGAACAACGTCCTTTAAATTAGGGTTAAGTCTCATTTGGGGCTGTGTGATACCCTTCGGATCCGAGACGCGAGTTGATCAGGCCCAGGCCCAAACCCGAGGGAATATCAAACAATTAAAGTATTTTATAATGAACGCAGATGACAAAATGAAATAGGAATAAATATTAAAAGCTGAAATGAATACTAATTGTAATACCCCGATAATTTTAAAAGATTTATTAATTAGGATTAATTATTTTATTTTATTTTTCAATGATTTATTTTATTTTATTGAGTGCTAGATTAATTATCTTATTTTAATTAAGTTATATTTCGTGATTATGTATGATGATTGATTGTTTGTGTGGTTGATTATTGATTGAATTATTGGTGTGTTGATTTTATTGGTATTATATGACTTAGTTGTAAATTCTTGTTTGTTTATGTGCTTCATGTAATTAGTTATTTTAATTTCTGTATTTAATTAATTATCTTATTTATTTAAATTAATTGGATTGGGCTTAAGGAAAGTTGGACCAAAAGATGTGGTCTTGGGCTTGTATGAAACCTTATTGGGTTAATTAATGAAGGTCCGTGGTTATTTAATTATTTAAATGATCACTTTTGTATCAATTATATTTATATATATATATATATATATAATTATATATAAATATAATTAATTAATAATTGTTATGGAAAGATATATATATAGATATATATTTATTGATATTTATAAGTATATATGATTTAATTAACTAATGAGTTAATTATGGAAGGAATATATATTTATATATATATATGTTTATAGATATAAATTATTTAAAGATTATTATTTTAATTCATAATACTAGTTGGAATAGGATTTGGAATTTAAGGTGTATAAAAATACACATAAGGCTTTAGGGTTAAAGGTTTTACACGTTAGAAAAATAAAGCAGACAGAGAGAGAGGAAGAAGAAGGGCTGACAAGGAGGAGGTCGGATCTGAAAAGGAGGACGTCGGAATTAGAAGAGATAATTAAAGCTTAAAGCGTCGGTTTCGTTTCGAAACCTTCAGGCGAGTTTTCTCTAACTTTCCTCTTAGAACTCATAAGGATTTCACCTTGAGTATCAAGGCTTTAATTAAATTTATTTGTTTAAAAATTATGGTTAGATCGGAATAATTAAAAAGTATAAACTATTATATTTGATTTTTAGATTATTGGATTTTAATTGATATATATAGGTGTTATGTATATTTTAAAATCAATCTATAGGTGAATTTGTGACCCAAGAGAGTTAATTATGGTTTCTTTATTTTCTGTAATTTTCTGGAATTTTTCTGATATTTTTAGGAATTTATTAGGATTTATTTTCCTATTATTTGTTAGGAAAATAATTATATATATATATATATATATATATATATACTAGGTAACTGATCCAGTGCGGCGCGGTGTAGGATAATAGGGTGTATACGCCAATTAGGGCCATTTGATTAATTAAACTTATGTGAATTGATATGGTGCATCGCGGCGCATAAAACTTTGGTGCGAATGTGAATCTGGACCATGGATTAAGTTTGGTCAACAGAAGATTTATCTGGTGTGGGTGCATACATGTGAGCTCAAGTGAGCTAATCTGGTGTGGGTGCGTTTGTGTGAGCTCAAGTGAGCTAATTAAGTGTGGGCGCGCTCACAGTAGTGTTTGAGCTTAGCCAATTATTTTGTCTGTTTGTGACATAAAATTAAAACGGTCATAACTTAGTCATCTTAAATCGAAATTGGGTCATTCTTGAGCTCAAATTCAAGGATTTTTCGTCTTCTTTCCAATGGTACCAATTTTATTATCAGATTCCCATCCTACTAGGAGATATTTATGTTTTAGTGAGAAAGTGTTGGAAAACTATTTAAACCAATATGGAGTATTTAAAGGAAACTATTTCTGACATATTTAGTTGCACTAATTTGTGTAAATATAATAAATTAATAATTTGTTATGGAAGGAAGTGTATATATATATATATATATATATATATATATATATATAATTATTTATATATGTGTATATATAGTTTAATTTGTCTATGAGTTGTATGGAAGGATGAATATATATATATGTATGTATGTATGTATATTGATTTTAAATAATCAAGGATTATTAAAGAAGGTGTTAAACACATAAATACATTAAATAACATATGTGTAGGTATATATATATATAAATCATTTAAGATGATTAATATTATCATTCTTATTTGGCATATCTTAATAGGCTGGTTGTTAAATTAATGATATGCGTATAATATGCATGTGATGGCTATGTATGATTTAGCGTATTGTTAATTTTAAAATTAATTCATGGTTAAAGTGTGGGCATGGATGAATTGTCAAATGATTAAATATATTACCTAAATATTTGTATGAATAGAATACATATATGGAAAGTATGGATGAATTGCTAATTAAATGTATGAATAAATATACCTGTGGAGACATGGTTGAATTGCCAATGTATAAATATACATACACGGAGGCATGGTTGAATTGCCAATGTATAAATAAATATACTTATGGAGGCATGGTTGAATTGCCAATATATAAATAAAAATATTTACAATGGCATAGTTGATTTGCCAAAGCATAATTACGTTGTTATGTGTTAGATGATTAAAATATCATCTATAGTTGTTGTATGTATGGATTGGATTAGGGTTAGATATTCTTAAATGAGAATAGTTTAGTACTTACTGGTTAGTGTATTATTTTACATTAATAAAATAATATTGGGGAAGACGTGGATGATTTGTCAAAACTTGAATTTTGGATATGTGATTTAAACAATTAAAATCATTATCGGGTTGGGATTAAATAGAGTATTTCTTTTATTATAATTTGTTGTTTAAATGATTAAACAACTGACTAGGATGGGATTAAGGTCAAAGGAGTTTTTATAAAATGAAATGGTAGATTGGTCTAGGTATGAATATTATTTTAATAATTATTTAATAGGTATGGAAATTTAATAAACCTATTAATGGATGTGATTAGTATAGTATATATAATTATATATAGACATGTATATCGTGCTTTATTAAAGTTAAAACTTTATTAGGTTTGGTTTTGATCAGAGATGATCTGCTTATTGGTTTTCAGAGGCCTGGTAGAGTGAACTTGCTCGTAGGGTTTAACCCACGATTTATTTTTCAGGTTATTAGAGGTTCCAGTCTCGAGGTTGAGGATCCGCAGCTGGGAGACTGTCATTCGTCTATTCATCTTGTGTACTTTTAAATAGTATTGGATTATTGGATAATGTTTTAAGGGGTCCTTGAGTTATGGGATTTCCAAATTGTAATTGTTGGAGAATCATTAAGTAATATTTATTTATTAGTTTTCTTCAGCGGTTTATTTATTCTTTATTATTCATCTTTGTATTCTGTGCTTGTTAAATACTTAAATTGTTTTGATATCCCTTGATTTTGTGCGCGGACTTGATCAATCCGTGTTCCAAAATTAGGGGGTATCACACTAATATAGAATCCTCAACTGATAAAACTTTATAAAATCCAACATCCAAAACCTCCATGATTACAACTCGGGAATCCATTTAGTGGACCCCTAAATCAAATCCCAACTGAACTGAAAACTGAAAGTAAATAAAACTAAAAACATCGTGAGAAGTCCTACGTAATCTGACGAATGGAAACTATCCTCGAACAGCACGATCAAGCTCTAAGGCTGGAACCTTCCTGTACCTGAAAAGAATAATAGAAGAGTGGGTCAGGCCCACGAGCAAGTTCTAAACTAACTACAATCCATACAGTAACCCGATACGCAGATACACCGTAGATACCTCACAATAACTATCTAGTCCATACATATATATATCCACACTAAGGGACATTCACTGGACTACAGTAAGGGTCTCAACCTGAATAGAAGGTAACATGCGAAAACGCACCCAAGGGTGGGCATGAGTACCTACACCTAACAGGGTACACCTACCTACTATATCCAGCTACGCATCCTCTGCATATACGCACCCTAACCAACGACTTTGAGACTCAATCTCATATCGTGGTACCATAATCATATATCTAAAATCCGTCCAAAACCATAATATCTCATTCAATTATTTATTGAGGAGACATACAAATCATACTAGTTAGTCACTCAACTTATTCAGTTGATATGACTTAACCACCATCCATTACTCCAGGAAGCCATTCAACTTAATCACAGTTGATCTGACTTAGTCACATTTAGGATTCAATATTTTCCAATCCATTCCTTTAATCCGATAGGTTAGGTTTAAACGTTTTGAGCTAAACCATCCTTACTATATCACCGTCCCATACCGGTGCATACAATCCTCCATATCCATGTAAATTACGACACATAAATAATAAGCTAGTAATTTACAGTCCAAACCAATATCCAAATCATTGCAGAAAAGTGAT